GGTATATAAATTGAAAATACATACGTATTCAAAATATAAAAATGTTGATGATGTTATCCCAAAAAGCGAGCTCGTGATAGGGGAGTTAAAAGTACAATTTACATGGTTCAATACGAGTATACCCGACGTATAATATTATGATAATTAGATATTAAATATTAATTTTAAAGTACCTAAGACACTAAGTAATTATTTCAAAAACTTTTAACGAATTTTCAAATATTTTTTCTACATAATTTTAAGTAAAAAAAAAACAACTTTTTCTAAACATTAAAATATTTATCAGTCATTTGGACTAGGTGATAAACTAATTGAAAACATGGTTTCACGTAAGAGTTTTTGTAACCAAAAATTCTAAAAATATATAAACAGTTTTTTTATAGTTATTTTGATGTAATTTAAAAATATTATTCTTGGGTAATTGAAACTTTTAAAATATATTATTATATTTAAAAAAAACTTATTTAACCTACTATAGACTGTAATAATAATGCCTAATAGTAAAATAAATTAATTTAATCACATTTATATCATAAAATATATCTACTTAGTATATTATAGTTGGCTGACAGAAAGTATATTCGTTCAGAATCGTACAATATTACAATGATTTTGTATCATTGAATTAAATTTGACACACTCATTAGTCATTACTCACTTAGGTACCTACCAGCTTTTTATTTTTCTCGATTATTGTAAAAAGCAATGAACAATTGTTTACTTTTGATCCCCCTCGCCCAAATGTTATGAACTATATCTTATTTTCTGTTAACGAACCATCCTCATAGTGTATGAATAATGTTTTCTTTTTTCTCAAATTGTTATAACTGACGGAAAAAAACCATCATTGCTTAATCATTAACAACAACATTAATACATTCATGGTCTGCTCAGAATCTAAAAGCCAATTAAAAAGTTTATAATAGTAGATTATAATATAATAAATCTCTCATTGGCTATTATAATGCTCAAAAGCAGGGCTTTAAAACGTTTTATGAGTATAACGTTAAACAATTCAAAAAACGATTGAAAACGTATTATTAAATTATAAATTTGATAAATTTTGTCAAAATTTGATCTTTAAATACTAGTTTGAATGCTTATAAAAAAAAATTTTGCATATGTATTTTTAATATTTTTCAACTGATATTGTAACAATATATCAGGAGCCTTGTATTACATTTTTACACTTTTTGGCCCAACAGATAAAACTTTATTGATATTCATAGAAAAAAAAAATAAAAAAATTGAAAAATGAAAATAGCTCCGTAAATAGCTCAAAAAGAGTCAAAATATTTTCAAAATTGTATGGTGTATAGGAAATGCTAATATAAACATTTAGTGAAATTTCCATGTATCTATAGTTATTCGTTTATGAATAACAACAAAATAAGGAAATCGCTACATGAGAAATCGAGTGAACATCCAATGTTGTAAAAATTTGAATTTCAAATGCTCATAAAAATTTAATTTGATTGTCCGGTAGAGATTTTTTTATTGATAAAGGTAGACAAACTTATGAGTAATCTTGTATTACATTTTCAAATCTTAGATTTAAAAAGAAAAATTTTTGCGAATTCTTAACTCAAAATAATTTGCTAATTTTCTTGATTTTTCCATATTTTGTCAATTTTTGAACTTTAAATGCTTATAAAAAAAACTGTGACTAACGATTTTTAATATTTTTCATCTGCCTTTGAAACAACATACTAGGAGTCTTCTATTAAATTTTCAAGTTTTTTTAACCAACAAATAAAATTGTATTGATATTTCTAGAAAAAAAACTAAAAAAAAATGAAAAATGAAAATGTCCTTAAACAGTTCAAAATAAATCAAAATATTTTGAAAATGTTATAGTGTATAGAAAATGCAAATATAAACAACCAGTGAAAATTTCATGTATTTACGGTCATTCGTTTTAAAGTTACACCAAAAACCAAATTCGATTTTGTCAAAAACCGATTTTGCGTAAAAATTCCCGTTTTTCCTTAATTTTTATGTTGTTTTTCCCGGCGCTTGTGAAAACTATTGGGAATTTTAAATTTTGACCTCCCCAATGCACCAACGATATTCACTTTCCAATCGAACAAGATACTGAAGTCGAAAATCGAAGCATTATTTCGACTACTTATCGTGTACACAGACACAAAAAAAAAAAAAAAAAACATACATCATTGTAAAATCAATACATTCATCGTTTCACTCAGAATCTAAAAATCCAAATTCTAATTTCCATGTAATCAGGGGCGGATTGGACCACCGGGAATTCGGGAGTTTTCCCGTTAGGCCACTTTTTCAAATAACTATGTATATTATAAAATTAAAATTCTTAAATGACTATTAAGTATATCAGGTAGGTAATCTACCTACGGTGGATTGCAGACTACACAACGATGAGTGACAGAAAGCAAAAATATAGTATTTTTCAAAAAGCAAAAACAGCATAAGTTATATATAGCATTTTTTTAGAAAATAAAAAGATACACACTGATTTTGCGTGTTGATTCTGTTCATTTACCTATATCAGGTATATTGAGTGGAAGTAAATTATAAGCTTTTATTTAAGTATAAAAACGCATTATTAAATATTATTGAATAGGTAGGTAATAACCTTTCTTATTAAACACAAAAATCGTAACATTAGTAGTTTAATTATTCACTTTTACTGTGTTATATAGGTACATATAAGTACTTATAAGTACTATTATAAATGTGTAAACATAAACTGTTCAAAAATAAAAATAAATTTGATATCGATGTATACATATATACTACGAATAAAGTTTTATATAAATTAAATATCTCGCCAAATGTGTTAAAAAAATTGTAGTAATGTTAAAATAGTAATACATAATAATATTATGTTGGCTAAAATTAAATATTTGGTAAATTAGTAAGTGGGCAGGTATTCTTTGTATTTTCCCGGGCCGAAATCTCTCCCCAATCCGCCGCTGCATGTAATCGATGTCAATATTATTATTGAATAGCAAATCACAATTCCCAATAGCTGATGTAGAATTTCTGTAAATAATAGCAATTTGGATGTTTATAAGTGTTCAGAATTCAGGGTAAGTTGTCATATAAATTATAAATAATAATTGTAAAACCTTACTAATATGCCTGCTTTGATAATATTATATACCCAAACCTAATGCGGGTATCGTTAACTCTTTACTCTGATATTTGACTGTATATACTACTGAATCTTCGTTACCGCGTTATATATTGTTTAAATTTATATTTTTATACATAAGTTATTCATTTTTATACCAAACTGAAACATGGCGAGTGTGTCAAAAATGTTTTCTTATTTTTTTTTAATAATAATTTTTTATTTATTTTAAATATTAAAATTGATTTATTTATTTTAATGAATTATTTTTAATATTTCATTTTTTATAATATTACCAAAATTGTGAAATAGTTACACTTCATAACAAATGCCTGTCACCATTTTATATAGTACTTAATTGATAACAAAAATATAAAAAAAAAATCAAATACTAACGGTTAAAATCTATATTAACCGAAACCGAAACCTAAACCTAAGCCAAATTTGATATTTTTGAAAACCGAAACCAGGACCGAAACCAGAACCGAAACCTAAACCCAAACCTATAAAATCATAAAGGTTCCAGTCCCTGATTGATAGAATAAAGTTGGGTTGAAAGAAATAATTACTTAATGTTTTTGGATAATAATACAAGATAAATAATCGTATGATCATACCAGATATTCTAATGACTCAATATACATACAAGACAGTGTGAAAGTATTTATTTTAATGGTGAAAATATATCGAAGTGCGTCTTGGTCTGGACGATGTGTCTTGAGGTTTTTTATTGAGAGAATTCTCTGTGTACATTTTGTCTAGTCCTTATGTAGAACGATTTTATAGTAATCAATTCTGTTGTTGATGTGTATATCGGTGAAAATTAACATTAAGGTATCACTAAGCGGTAAGCGCTCATGATTTTAAATAGAATCGACGTACGGTGTAACATAACTCATAAGTACGGCCTGTAGAGCATTTGTGTTGTTATGCTGAACGTCTATTAATTGGAATGTGTGTGGAATAATATCATATATAAGTTGCATGTGTATAATATAACTGACATATCGTGACATTATGTTGGTGTGTGTATAAGGAATACGTATATTATATTATTATGTATATATGCCTAATGTCTATATTGTATATTGCACCATCTCACATCTCGTATGGTCTGGCGTAATTATATATCCTGTGTTTTTTATTTAAGTATACAATGGAAATATTAATTTATAATACAATTTCAATACATTATTTTCAATTTGAATTTAAGTTATACAGTGTAAAAGTAAATTGTGCTCTTTTAAGCATATAATAATAATAATAATAATAATAACAATAATATAGTTTTACATTTTTATGACTTAAGTATAATTGTATAAATTTGAATAATTGACATTAACTAAACAAGTTAATACTTAGTAGATAATATATAGTGGATATATAGTAGATAATATATTGTATAATATATACAATTTTTTTTAAAAATAAAATTATGTAACTTTCATAACATAATTTTATTTTTTAAAAAAATTGAATTGCACAATACCATATAATTATTTAATGTAGAAATTAACACCTGTAAGCTAATAACCTATGTAGTTGATGCTTAACCAATAAAAAAAAAAAAAAAAAATATATAGTGGGTTGTTTTTAGGGTTTTAAACTATCATATAAACTAACATTGTATTTCTGACTTATGGATATAATTTTATTGTATTATATTTTGTAATTAATTATGGGTCATTTTATTTCGGGTTAATTATTATAATTTGTTCAGACACGAAAGGCTGTGGATTTTTGGTCCTGTTAAGTATTAAAATGTATATTTTTTTTTGTATATCATGCAGGAAAAAGAAATAAAATATTTATGTAATTTATGTGAAATAAATAAAGTAAAGAAACGCCGAACTCTATTGATAAGTTGAAGTTTGTGAAGTGGTTAAAATTATTTTTTACACAAAGCCCGTTTATCAATAGGAATATTTTTAAGATATTTATTGATAAGCATGTTGCCATCAAAGTGATGTGAATCTTCGTTTCGAATATTCATGCATTCATAAATTAACGGGTTGTCATTATTTGGATTTCCCCCATCATTCATTATAATAGCTTGTATATGAGTTGGTGGAGGATAAGGAAGAGAATTAAATACATCCGACTTTCTATCATAATTATATAACAACTGTATTGTCATGACTGTTTTTCCTATTGGTTTGTGTTCAAGTGACTTTTCCACATCTCGCCAAAACCCTTTATTTAGTTTACTGTTTTGAGAAAAATAGTTACGAGGGTTTGAGGTTCCACCATGTAAATGAGGTATTAAGTGTCCGGCGTCGCAATTGACGCACGATTGTTTTACTTTTTCAACTACTCCCTTAGGATTAGCTGATTTACGTGTTGTATTGGTTTCGCCCATGAAGCGATAGCAAACATAATTTACGTGACCGGCCTGGTTGATATAATAAAGATTATCTACGCGAATAGTATCAGAGATACGTGTTTCGGGTATACTTAATGTATGATTATATTCCTGTGGCGGGTACATATGCCTCGGACACTCAGAGAAAAGTGATTCGGTTTCACCAACCAGCGTGTTAAAAATTAATGCAAATAACAGGGATAACCAATAACATTTCTGCACCATTTTAGAATATAAATGGGTAGTCTAATTATTTTATAATGTGTAATTAATTAAAATGGTGCGTGATCTCCTACAAAGAATACCGTTTAGAATTAATGTATATCTTCGTGGATGGACCGTAACAGGTGCTGCTGATCGCGGAGATGCTTAACTGCTTTGTCAGGCTCGAGGCACTGTAAAATTCAAACAATAATTAGCCAGGGCCGTTTTGTTTGAGGAAGAATTAAAGGTGCATTATTGGGGTAGGCAAAAGTTGATACAGGTGACAGGGGTGGGCAAAAGTTGATACAGGTGACAGGGGTGGAAAAACATTTTATGGGTGGCAAAAAAAAGCTGATAGTACCGTTTGTAATATAATAAAAATAAAATACATAGTAGAATAAATATTTATTATTTTATAGTACGAATATATGATGACACTTGTCGGAATATCTAAAAGAGCAAAACCGTAATGAAATCTAACACAATCTAACAACACTGTTGTGGTCTTATGAACTTTGTTTTCGTAATACCCACGTGCTATTTTAGATTCTGAGTGGAGCGATGAATGTATTGATTTTTCAATGATTTATGTTTTTTTTTTTGTGTCATCATATTTGTGGCCAGTAAAAATTCTTCAGTTTTCTTCAACAGCATCTTTTCCGGTAGGAAAGATAGGAATCTATTTGGTACTTTAGGGGGTAATAAAAGTAAAGAATTCCAAATAGTTTTCAATTTTTCATAAGGGTATAATAAAATGAACAAAAAATTAATTAAAAACTGAGATTTTTAAGAAAACCGGTTTTCAATAAAATCTACTTTGTTCTTTAGTGCAGGTGTCGTGGTTCAAAAGGTTGCTGACCCCTGCTTTAGTGTAACTCTAAAAAAAATTACCGAATATAATAAAATATCAAATGTAGGTACACTAAATTTTTATATTAGCAATTTCTATGCACCATGACATTTTCGTAATATTGCGACTATTTTTGAATTATTTATAGGCATAAGAAAATGTCAAGTTGTATTATTGTTTTTTTAATCATGAAAAATATTGTATTTCTGTGTAACTATTTTCACTGAATAAATGGTAAATATATTATATATATATATATTTATTTACTTACTTCGCTTAGCTGATTTTGAATTGTGTTTGATGTGAACGTTGACAATTTGTATGGTTATGGCCATGTGGCAATGGGCACTGCCCCATTGCCTTTTGGGAGTTGAGGTTATAAAGTGTAGCAGAATTTGTTATCCCCACTTAGTTTTATTGTGCATATCTGAATTGGCCTTGTGTGTCTTATCTCGAGGGTCCCTGTTTTTGTTGAACGTGACGTCATGTAATCTGTGTTAAATTACCTAAAATTGCTTTTCAATATTATTAATGTAAAGGTCAAGGGGCCTTTAACATAGGCTATAGTATGACTTAATTGATTATGTTGGTCAAAGGACGTGTTGTGAAAAAAAAATAAACTATACAATCATAATATTGAAACCAAAGCCTCAACAATTATATCTAACTCATATTATGTTAACTTAAAATTGCACATCCACTAATTTTCTACCATATATTAACGTTTGGATAAAAAATAATACCATTACCTAATTCAATTTCATATAATCAAGAATTACATATTAATTTGTGACATTATTAACACCATAATATATTAATTTTCTCAATATTAAAACTTTATAATCTTTTCGATTTTTTAGATTCTGAGTGGAGCGATGAATGTATTGATTATACAATGATGTGGGTTTTTATATTTAAAATTTTTTTTTGTGTGTCTGTGTACACGATAAGTAATTGGATTTAATCGGAATAATGTTTCAATTTTCAACTACAGTATCTTGATCGATGTGAAAGTGAATATAGTGTGTGCATTGGGCAGGTAAAAGTACTTAGTCATATTTATTATAGAAAACAATTATTCTTAATTTTAGGTTATTCAACGGAGTTACCACTACAAACAGTGTCATTGTAAACGATTTATATTTTATTTTTAAATATTACAATGTTCCTATTCATAATAATAAGTTAAAAACATTTTTTAGTTTTAACAAAAAACATTTTTATTTTACGTTCAACTGAGAAGTTTGGCAATTCGACTTATTTAGTGCTATCTTCAATATTAAATCATTTATCGACATAGGTACATCGACATATGGCACCGCAGACGCCAGACAGACTAGGGTTTCTCAAACTAAATGTAATGAAATGGATTTGAAAATCGAACATTTTTCGTTTTGGCTGATACGAAAATCGAGTTTGATGACCGCCCAACGTAGGTAGTTACCGTAACTATAAATTACCTGAATATTGGCCTCCCGAATCTAATACAGTAATACCCTTAAATATGCAACTAATTATCTCTAAATCTCATAAAGCTGTAGCTGCGTAATAGCTAATGGATTACACAAATAGTATTTACTTTAAAAATAATGTGTCGAGTAATTTTGGTTTCGTACCCAACTTAGAAACCGCAGTAGAATATTATGCGACAAAAAAAAAAACAAAGTGAAATAAATTTGCAGCTATTTTAACGGGTTCTTGGCTTAAGGTTTTAACTTTTAATTCCCCAAGAGTTATTGTCTAGCTACTGTGTAAGCCTATGCTTTTTAAACAAACACGTGTCCTCACCTAACCTCCTACCACTATCATTTTATCAATACAGATATACAATAAATTAACATAATTAATACGGTACTACTCCACGTTAGTTGAGATCTAAATGCATATATAACACCTAGTCGCTGTATCCACTTTTTTTTATACAACACGAGTACCGAGTACATAAGTATCTAGTAATACTACACTACTAAAAAAAAATTCTTAAATAATAAACTTAAATTCCATTTTATTTTTTAAATTGAAACAAATTTATAAGTGTATAAATCTATTTGTAATTAATATGCACAGAAAATTGAAAGTTATACATTTTTTTAACACGTACTTAGGTATATTACAAAAAATAATCAATCATTCATGAAATTTAAATAAAAAAAAAACAAGTAAAAATTAATTAAATTACGTTTAGCTTTATCGTTTTATAATTAAAATAATTCAATTTTTCTCTCATGATAATATTCAGACCGTTCGTGATGTGGGTATGGGAGTTGTTTCTTAGGTAGGTATCTATGTTTAACTGGCCAAAAATCCACCGTCCACTGGAATTGAAACACCATTTACGTAAGTAGAATAGTCACTGAGTAAAAATAGTGTCACATTTGCTACGTCGTCACACTCTGTAAGTAAATATATAAAAATTATAAAGTGGCAGTTAAGGTTTAATAATATTAAGTTGAGTACTTACAAAATGACTACATACTTAAACTGAACAGTTTAATTTTATTTATAATGAATTTATTTAAATCTATAATAACTATTAAGTTTTTTTATATACATAATTTAATTGGTTAATTGAAGATTCATAGAAAAAAAAGAGTTTGAATAATGTAGCTAAGTACCTATGACGTATTAGAATGATTACCAGAATGTAAATACAGTTGGAAACATTGACAAAGATTGTGTGGATGGACATTCTATATGAGGAAGAGAAAAAACAAGAAGAACAAGAAAAATAAGTAGTAATTGGTAGTTTAAAAAATTAAAACTAACAGCTGCTCAAAATACAATAGAGGTTCGATGAAATATAGGTAGATATGTGTTAGGTATAATTAAATATTTACCAGCAAATCGTCCTATTGGTATTCTACTTAAAATTGGGTTCGATTTCACTGGGTCGGACCATGCTTTAGCACCCATTTTTGTCATAACCACAGTCGGGTTGACGTTGTTGGTACGGATACCCAATGGTCCCAGCTCAATACTCATAACTCTTGTCACTTGATTGACTGCGCCTTTTGATGCACAATACGATGTGTGGTCAGGAATAGCTCTCTAAAATGATAATGTGATTAATAATTGTAATTGTTGGGTTTTTAAGATGAATAAAATAATTCATAAAATTAATAAATCGTTTTAAGATTGAAACATTACGTTTGAATTTAATGCATTCCTAATATATTATATTATGTTTATGTATGTGCACTGTGCACAGTACGGCTTATACATACAATACAATCAAATTGTGATATGTTTAAATCAAACTTTTATGAGTAATTTTTGAGAAATAATCGATAATAAGAGTTTATATAATTTCTTTAGTGTGTAATTTTAAGCACTCTTAGAAACATTTGGCTAATTTTAAAAATATTTTTTAATTAAAAAAACTGTTAGTATTTTAAAACCTACAGTTTTTTCAATTCTATTCATTTGAAAATAGGTATACAAAATATATGTAGTTTTATGTTTTTTTATGATTAATTTACCCTTAATATAATTATTAGGTATAAGGTCGTAGAAGTGATTTATTTTTGAGATTCGTGAACTTCACAAATTAAAAGTTTAGTACAACAATAACCATTATGTTCACTATGGTTAATTTGTATTATCGATATCATACTAGTATAAATTAGGCATTATGTAGTTAATTAATTAATTAATTAATTACGTTTCCAAAGTGCTAAGATAATAGGTTATTAGTTATAATAGTTTAATGGGGTTAATATTACAATAGTAACAACAGTCAACAATATATGTAATAATTATTTTATGGGCTTAATGTGACTCACGGTAACAATAACGACGGGGGTATCAATATTACTGTATTAAATACCGGAATTTTATGCACTAAAAAGTATCAAAATATGGCATAGATTTAATATTACTCAATAAAAATCGTGAAAATAGGGGACAAATATGAGAGAAAAAAATCTTAATTGATAATTAATTAAATAATTTTTAATTGATAGTTATTAGTTTATAAATTAATATCTTGCGTTGATGTTTAATGTTCTGAGAAATCAAACGTTAAACAACTTATAGTTAGGTATTTACTATTAATAAACCTGTCTTTATTGCAATTACAATTTAGTGCATATAGGTAGTTATGTATGGAAAACAATGTTTTTCATAATAGTATCAAATTAATATGATTTATAGAGATTACTGCCGAAAATTAGAAAATTAAAAATATACAATTTATTGCATTATAATCCGTGCACTATACAGCTATAAGCCATCATCGATATACGGTTTTGACCTATAATAATGATATTATAATATACTCAGACAGCATGAAATATATTGCACTAATATTATTCGTTATTATAATGTTATAATAATAATATTAAACAAAAAATTGTTGTTGGTTTAAACATACTTCTGAAATTGTTGAGGACACGTTAACGATGGATCCTTTAATACCAGCGTCCTTCATGTTCTGTGCTACAGCCTGACTTATGCGAACGATTCCTCTTGCGTTGATGTTTAATGTTCTGAGAAATCAAACGTTATAACATTATTATAATATCGATGGGTGTTAATTAGGTAATTATTCAAGCGAAACAATATTATTAATTTTTAGTGGGTCTAATTGCAGTAGAAATCCGGTTCATTCTTCAACTCGTATGTTATTATTACAAAATAAAACCAGAGTCGAAATAATTCTGTAGTACATATTACAATATTGTCGATGTACAATAATATGTTAGAATATGTCAGATAATCACTACCATTACCATTAATAATAAACGCATTCATAATAATTAAATCTATAATTTATTAACAAAAAACCAATGAAAGTCTTTCATTTTATCGATTTACAAAATTTTAGTAAGTATAAGTACTTACCTACCTAAATAAATCACTTTCAATGAAAGTATTTTAAAATCACATTTAAAAAGTGCTTTAAAGATTTGTTTTTTTAATTTGATTTATCACTTGGATAAAGGTACTATTTTTATAATCGAAAAAATAATAAAATATATGTTACATGATGATACAATAATAGACGATTTTAGGTATGGTACATAGTGTATAGTGTGGTGTTGTTGAAGAAGCAGGTGACCAATATAATAGGTACCCTTTTAGCGTTATTTTAGTGGGTAGATATATTTTTCAACATTTACGTTATATTTCTTTACATTGTACGTGGTTCAACTTGAACAACTAAATTTGGTATTTATCTTAGACGTGTTAATATGTTGTATAATTTATTTTAATAATATAATACTTATTAGTTATATGAATTATAACTACTAAAATGGGATAGTTTAGACTTTTAAGAACGTTTATAATTAAAATTTCAAACATACCTAACCTAAAAGAAATATTTAAAAATATATTTTATTCTTCTATAATAATCAATTATTATTGTTAGAATAATATCAATTGGTCATTCTAAAGCATAATAATAATGAAAGTATCATACTTATCCCATCCTTCTTGTGTCATGTCAAAGAAAGATTCGATATACGCCACTCCTGCATTGTTCACCAAACCGTGGACTGGTCCCAATTTTTTAATTATATCATAGGAGTCCCATTCACCCACATCTGCACAAACTGGAGTTAGGTTAGGTGTAGCCGGTGGCAATTTCTTTGCGTCACGTCCAACAGCGAAAACGTGAGCACCCAATGATACTAGGCGTTTAGTAATCGTCTCGCCAATTCCTGTAATCACAATTTATTTTAAGATTTAACAACAACATTTCAACATTGTATAAAATTAATTTATAATTAAATAATTTGGCTTTCTAGACATTGTTGTATTACCATCGTGTGGGAATTGGCTTTGTTAAATTATATTGAAATAATGAGAAGCTTGTCGAAAATCAGCTATTACTGTATTTTAGCAGCATAAGCTATACACCTACATTCAGGCGGTAGTTGTAAAGTAAACACTCATTTGCGTAAAAAAATGTGACGTTCTTGGAAATATTTTTTTTTTTAACATACATTTTTTATTTAGACTGAATACAACTTTATTTTTCCGTAGGTACATAACGCTTTGTTTATCACCAGAGAAACACAAATCGATAAAAACATATATAATATATTGTTAAGAATATAATATTCTAAATACATCAAAATGTAGCATAGTACTAGATATTTTTCCACTGAACTATATTATATACCTACTATACCATATCTATGTTTCCTCAATTTTTCTTGCAGGTGAAAAATATCTAGTAGCATGCCACATTTTTTTTAAATAGTCAATGAAGTCAATGACCAATGAGGTTTGATCTATTAATTTTGTAATACTAAGCAATACTTTTTACTTTTTAATATCATTATAATTTTTTTTTTCAATGATTAAAATCGTATGGTCGTTCCGCATAGAAAAAATATAAATCAGATAAAAATACATTAACTTTCACTTAAATATAATATTCTCGCTTTTATAAACTAATAATGTTTTATTAAAATGTCGATCATTCAATGTTGGATAATTCATTCAAAGCAAAATATAATACATTTTTTTGAGTGATTATTATAATATTTATATGGTAGTATGGTACGCTATGCAATATTCATAATAAGTCCTCATTAGTCTAGTGACCAGAATACCCCAGTCATGGTACCTTTTTTAAGCTGGGTTTTCCGTATGAACGTGCAACTTAAACCATAATAATTTCACAGCACTTAATAATTATTAGTAAGTACTAAGTAGTAACTACTAGACGTTTAGGTACATGTAGATGTAGGCATACGTAGCTTCATTTATTATTACATATAAATATTTTATTTTATTCAACAAAACTCATAAGTTGTATCTAAGAATGATAATATTATCTATAACGTAGTAGGTACCTACATTTATTTAAAATCAACGCTCTTGTCGAATAAATTACAAATTAAAATTATGTACTTTCACTACTAATATAATGATATCGATATAGATAGGTACCTATAGCAAACCTACTTTAAAATACATATAGGTAGTATTATTTGAAATAAATAAATTAATGATTTAAAATTGAATTTTAATATTTTAAACATCGAATATTAAAAAAATCTTTTGACAATAAAAATCACAAAAGGTGATATTATATAACAATGACCAGCAAAACTTCCACGATGGAAACAATAAGAATATAAAAATTGAATTTAGACGATTTAAGACAAATCTGGTTTTTAGTTTCGATGTTCAAAAATCACATAAGATAATTTTCAAATTTCAAAAGCAGATCTAAAAAAAAAAAAAGAAACCCGTTTTGAAATATCAGTAGGTGAACAGGCTGAAGATAATATTATATAATATAATACTCAGACGTGATTATCTCACAAATAATTCATAGTACCTAGACCTAATTTACCGAACGATAACAAAAACTAATAATTAATATAGTACGGTATCGAAAAAATAAAATATAATAATATTATTTTTATGAACTACCAATCGCTTTTCCATAATATAAATAAAAACAGTAAATTTTTATTTTTTTGCAAACGACTCTTACCCGCATTAGCGCCGGTGACGATGAACTTTTTGCCCTTAAAGAATTCTTCCATGTCGTCTAGTACGTTGTGAAAGCGCGTGAATGTGAATGAATTATTAAAATAATTATAATAATATCACGAACAGCGGTAGGCTGCAGTTGTACGATTGAGCTGGTAGACGGCACTAAAGGTATATGGTCCAAATCGCTGGCCGATCGACTGTATTTATATTGTTTTCCCAGCCGATCCCGATCCGTTATCTCTGGAGCATATTATATAAATATAATCACATATAATATTACTCATTTGCCGTGCTAACATGTTGTTTTTGTTATTATTATTTTATTCGATTTAATTACCGACCGACAAAACCAATTTAATTGCCGACGGTGTATATTATTATATCATATTATAATAATATAATATAGAACGTAATATACAACACCCACGGGTCAAAGGGCAGTGTCAAATTGGTTCGAAACAAATATTATATTTTATTATAATATTTTCGTGATGTTGTTCTGCCATTACCACAGACGAAGGTTAGATATTTCGTTAGAATAACAAAGTCCTTCCCATCGAGATATTATATATATTTTTTTATTCTTTTTCTTTACTTTTCATCACTTGGTTAGAAAATGAAAATAGTTATTTGGTTGCTTGTTTACTTGTTTGTTAAGAGATACAAGGCTGAGCCCTTTTTACAAGTGTCGGTAACTATGTACAAAACCATAATATGAGGTAGATATAAACAATTAATGTATGACAGGATACATACAAATAAGTCAGTTAATAAAACTGAGTATCAAATCTTATACCGAACACAATAATACTGTAGGTATCATATTAAGTATAAGTAAAGATGATTTAAGTAAACAAATTTTAAAATTCGGTAAAATTAAAAAAAAAAAAAAACATTAATAAATACCTAATAAAATATAATATTATGTAATAATATATTATATTTATATGTTCTATTCCTATCTGATAAAATATGTTTAACAAATTACAATTTTAAATGTAAATTTCACATTTGAAACTTTAAGTTGAATCTACATAAGTATACATACATATTATAAACTCAATAGTGTAACTATAATAATGTTCCAATAACCAAAAAATGCATATAATATTATGATACATAGCTTTTTACTTAAAGTGTATAAACAAGCTATTTATATACAATAAGTTGTAAATAATATTAAAATACTTATTACTTTACTCTATAAAAATATTTTAATATTCTAATACTTAATTTAAACAATAATATAAAAATAATATTCTCGGTACCAATGAAAGAAAAATACAATAAAATTAACTTAATATTGATTATCGTTTATCAGATTATATTGTGACATCATACTAATTTTAGGTACCATACTAATATGATTGTATTTTATAATACATTCGATTTATATAAGTCCAGATACACCAAACACCGTCTTGGATACTAACTATGTTTTCAAAATGTATTGTTTTTCATCATAATTACTCACAACATATATTTTTCAGAGATTCTATGGTAATTAATAACTTTTAGTAGATACCGTTGATAATGGCGTTCAAGAAGCCAGAAAAAATAGATCATTAGATCGTCAAAACAATAACATATTAATAGTTACCTGCTGCAAGACTTAGAAAACGGTATAAATGTATTATAATATTATATTTTAATAATTTAATCACAAAATATTGGTTTTCATTATTATGCAGTATATTATTAAAAAGTAAAGTGAATGTTCAAAACATAAAATTAAAATAGATCAACGCTTCTTGTAAACCATGAAATAAATTATAAATTATCACGATTTAATTTATTGCGTGTAACTATTTTTTCACTCAATTATTATTTAGTTATATCATGCGATACACATCGAATTCCTCAATACTCAATACCTATATAATATATAATAATTCAATAATGTACCTAAGTTTAACTAAAAACATAATATATTTTATATTATTATAAGGTGTTCATTCATATAACATTTATGGGTTTATATTTATTTTTGAAACTATAAACTACTTTTTGGCTTTCAATGAATAACAAGTCTTACGCATTTTACACAAACATAACGCAGTGGGTATGGTCAGTTGAATAATATTAGGTAGGTACTTATGTTTTTTTTTTTTGAGACGTCAAGAAGTTCTGAGTATTTTCATGCTTCAGTTACAATAGTTTTGGAGCAATTTCAAGTCAACATTTACAATATTACATGAACAACGTCACCTATTCTCTAACGTTGGCTTACGTCCTAGCAGTTGCATGTCTATAATGGTTAGGGTAACTACTGTTTCATGCCAACGTTTTTCATTTAAGTATTTTTTTTCTTTATATTGTTTAGTCTACTGTATAACTGTTGTATAATAGCAGTGAGTTGTTTTCAAGTACAATGCAGTAATTTGTGAGGAAAATTCCATGCACAATACGATCGTAGAACCATAATATTATGTATCTTTGGCCCTGTTCTCTACAATGATACAACCATAATATCATCGGTCTGTATGTATCATAATATTGTGTAAATAACATTTTTTGAAAATGTTGAATACGATATAACAATTTTATCTTTCCGATTTTAATTTTATGAGACTTATAATTTACAACAAATGTATGCAAATCCGAAAGTTCAATCGTTTCTATCGTCGGTGTAATCCACTTGAATTGGATCATCTTGTTACTATATTATTACACCTTATATTCCGAATCAGTGAATAAGTCATACAGCTGGCCTCATTTAAATGTTAAAGTAGTTTTAGTATAACAGAGTAATACGATGAAACTTTGTGAGGGAAAATACATAACAACACCACTTTTACCTTTTTTGTACAGACATTATAAATCCTATAACTCGCCCAACGCATGGCATGTTACCAGCTTCAATAAAGAAACTTAAAATATTTCAAAATTGTATGCACTAATTTTAAGTAGAATATTAATCTGGTATAAATCTAATTTATTTTTGATACACATTAAACACCTCTAGACGTTCCAAAACAATGTCTTACACAATAAATGTAGGTAATTTGTAATCAACACGTTAATATTAAAATTTTTTTTTTTTTTTTTACTTTTATTTGGCATAAACAATCTATACTATTTGAAGCACAATAAGTTTATATGATAAGAGTAATTATAGAACATGATTATTTTGAATAAGCAGCCACCCATTAGTGGTTCTTGGCTAATGAAATTTTTTTTTTTTTTTTTTTAATTGTTTATATTATTATTATTCAGAGTTAGACATTAAAGTTTTGTAAAAGGTCACGGCACCACTTTCTTTTTAACCTACGGTTTGGGTTTCCTGGGAGTGTAAGGATAGACATTTCTTTTATAAGAGGATTTGTATGATTTTGAAGTCGTTTATGGAAACGTGTATAAAAAATGCGTGCTTCCGCTTCTATTGTTCTCATACAGAGATCGTTATGAAGGGCTAGATTAGATATATAGGGGGGAGCATTGGACAATCGTCGGAGCGAAATATTTTGGAATGTTTGGATTCTGTTAATATTTGATTTTTTTGCCGCACCCCATAATTGTAGTCCATACGTCCACATTGGCTTGAGAAGAGATTTGTAGATTAGTAGTTTGATGTTAAGGGGGGAACACTTATTTCTAATTAACAGGGGTCTGAGAATACGCATGCGATTATTTAAGGATAGCCTTTTGGATTGAAGGTGGTTTTTCCACGTCAGTCTTTTGTCAAGGATTAGCCCTAAGTATCTGACCGTGTCGGATGTGGGAATTGGTATGTTGTTAAGGGTAATGTTTGGGCATATTCCTTGTTTAAGCGTGAATGTTGTGTGTACCGATTTATTTTGGTTAATTTGGACACGCCATTTTTCATACCACTTAGACAAGTGATTGAGATGCATTTGTAAGTTTGATGATGCAGTTACAGGATCTTCATTGATAGATAAAATGACTTTATCATCGGCATAATCAGCTACAATAGTTTGTCGCATGGTGGGTTGGTCGGCTACGTAAATGTTAAAGAGAAAGGGGGAGAGTATTCCACCTTGTGGTACACCAGCTTTGATTGGTGCGATTCCGGACGTCGACGAGTTATATTGGACTTGAAAGTGTCTATCAGTTAGATAAGATTTAATTAGTAGAAATAATGACGAAGGGAGAAATTTTTTAAGTTTGAATTGCAAGCCTTCGTGCCAAACCCGGTCGAAGGCTTGGGCAACGTCAAGAAAAACACAAGAGCAGTAAAGTTTTTTTTCCAGAGACGCAGAAATAACATCGACAACACGATGAACTTGATGTATCGTACTATGTGCGTTGCGGAACCCAAACTGCGTGTTTGGAAGTATGTTGTTACTAATAATATGCGGTAATAAGCGTTTTAAGATAAGCCTTTCTAAAATTTTTGACAGGAAGGGCAAGAGGCTTATTGGTCTGTAAGATGATGGAGTATCAAGTGGCTTATCAGACTTAGGGAAAAGAATAATTTTTGAGAACTTCCATAAAATCGGAAAATATGACAGTCTGAGTATAGCATTAAATATATATGTTATAAGAACTAATATTAAAATTTAACTCAAAATATATAGTTTATTATTTTTTTTTCGTTAAATTGAAATTGATATTATACACTTGTATAGTTATTGAGATAGGCTTTTATGATTTTTGTTCATTTATATCTTAAGTATAAATAAATAACTTCATTAGATCATATTATTGTGTAACACATTATATATAATGCATACCTAATTAAATTTAAAATATAAGTCATTAAATACTAATTGGACAAGTTAAAATATAAGATAACTTCATTCATGTTTATCAAGTTAGTACCTACCTATTAGTTTTTAGTTTTAACATAACAATTCATAGTTCACGATTTGTGTTTAATATTTGGCTATCATTGATTATTGATTAGAAGTTTCTAGAACATTCTATATACAATTCGAAAACATGAACGTGAAAATCGATGGACATATTATTCAATAAATTTAAATATTAAATCTTTTTTTATCATATTTTGACCTTATGAGTTATGTTATCGTACTACATTTATCAGTTTAAAAGGTAGGTGATTAAAAAATAAATATAAGAAAATATT